GCTGCATAAAACCAGAGATTGAAATCAGCATAGATATCGTTCCAGAAGCCAAATACGTAATAGACAAGAACTACTCCTTGCTCCACGAAATGGACTCAACACCCCATATTCAACGCATAGGAATAGACCTGACTGGTAGGAATCTTAAAACCTATGAATTTATATGTCTCCGTAAGAGAATCAAGCGTGTGTAGAGCGACATAAGCGCAGCAGTGAAAATCAGCCAAATCCCATTATAAAAATAAATTTCAAAACCAAATCACAATGACAGTGAAATAGAGAGACATTCTTACTTCATTCATTCAGGGCTCGGGATGAAACCTGGATTTACCACATCTACACCCACAGCCGTGTGAGACATAAGGCTGGACTCTAGGGGCTGATAGGATTGGTGAGGTTTGGTAAGCAAAGGCAAACCCTTTGAAGTCATCCTGCATGGTATCCATTCCATGGGGCCCAGCTCCCCAGGTTGAATGGATTCTTCCTTCCGCTAAAACATTCATGGGAAACCCAGAGTACGGTCCACCGTGTGATCGGGCAAAGTTCCTAAAACGCATCTCAGTTTACGTGCCCGGGAACACGTGTTGGTCGTTCAAGACGCTTTCCCGACACTCCTCACACTTGCAGAGTCAGTGCCTTTAACGTCCTGTTTGGCACACTTGGCAATTTCTGCACAAGATGGACAGGAATGGGGAGGACCAACGGGAGACTAGCTGTAGGTGTTTGGACGGGCACATTGAACTCTAATTTCCCCCCAGCATCCTTGGTAGATATGACACCAGTGAACAACGAAAGACCTATGTCGCCTCCAAAGGAAGCTTCTCCTTCGCCTTCTCTGCCGTCTTCCTCCGCTGGCGTCCCGCATGCTCTGGATAGTTCCTCCCCGCCTCAGGTAAGTGCCCTCGGGGCCCTGCACAGGGTGTGAGGCCGACAAGCTGCCTATACTCCTCCCACTTCCACACTGAGCTCTGGATTCCCAGCACCCTTGGGTCACCCCAAGTGCACAGCCAGGGCCAGAGGGGTGCTCTGTCAGGAGTCCACCCCACACCTCTTCACTTGTCCTTTCCACGAAAGTGCACCCTACTTCTTCTCAGCCACGGAGGGCACAGCCACCCACTCATTCAGCAGACTTTATAGGGCATGGAATCTGAGCTGGACTGTGGGATGCAGAGATGCTAGGGCTTGTGCTCTGCCCTTGAGGGCCTCACAGAGGGTGTTGAGGAGCTGGCAGCTGTAGGATGGCAGGCACAGAACGCAGGGTACCTTTGGTAGCAGCTGAGAACCTTGGAAGCAGCATCCCCCTTGAATAGAAAATGGCATCACCGAAGACAGTCATGGTTAGACTCTTTCCTTCAATATGGGTTTATCAAGCCTCTATTACCTGCCAGTCCTTGTTCTAGGCTCTGGGAAGTAGAATATCTAAGACAGAAAAGTACATACTCTTGTGAAGCTCTGATGACCAGAGCTCTTGGCAGGGCACAGTCGCTCCTTCTCAAGTCTTCTATATTCTTCCTTTGCCAAGCGCCAAGCTCCTGCATGCTAGAAATGGCTGCTTTCTCAGTGGGGAGAGGCATGAGTCAGGTTTTGAAGGGTCATTGGAAGATCCTAAAGGCTATCCTGCCACCACAGCTCCAAGCCAGAAGGGTAGCTGTCTCTCCTTACCTTAATGGTCTCCAAAGAAGAAGCCTTGGTTTCTTGGTTGTTGGAGGAACATACCTATGGGTGGAATGTGCCCTTTAGTAGGGACCATGGCTGAGCTTCCTTATGTGCCTGGCCACCCACAGGGACCAGGCCAGCCCTCCCCTCAGTGGCCCAGGAGCTTGTCAGTGACTTTGCTTTCCTTTCTGGCTTCCTACCCACCTAATCTAAGGCTCAGGAAAGACTTTGGTCAGTGATATGGGGGCTCTGGGCCAATTCCAGCCCATCCCAAGGGAGCCACTTAGAAGGAAGAGTGGCCCTCTGAAATCATCCTAGGCAGAATTCTTTTTGACTTTGGGTATATGAGATCTGGAGAGAGGAAGGGAGGGGGCTATAGACTGAGATGTGCGTCCCTCATATAAATAAATGCTGGGAACTTCTAAAAATCACTGCTCTTTTTTGCCTATCCCTTCCAGGTGACAGTTTGCAACCCTCCTTCTCAGGCCTCGAGAGGTCATTTCAGTCCTTCCACCCCAATCTTTCTGAGGCAAGCCAGGACCCAAGGACCACCCAAGGAAATCCCCCTACACATCCCTCATGGCCAAGTGCTGGAGCAGACAGAATACTGTCTGGTGAGGCCTGGTGGAGACGGCCTCGAAAGCTCGAGGCCATCCGGCCCTAAAGAGATGGCTTCTGATGGGAGTCGGGAAGCAGAGGCCCCTCCTGTGGGTACCAGAAGCATCCACAGAGGCCCACACCCCATTGGAGGGAAGGACAGGTGCTCGCCAGACCAACAGCTGTCTCCCAGGGCTGGAGAGGACCCTGGAGAAGGGAATACCAGACCCAGGAGGGGAGAGGAGGGTAGGTCAGAGCTGGCAGAGAAGAAGTTGGGCTTAAAGGAGCTGGTTCTCACTCAGGAGCAGAAGACTAGGTTGCTACATTGGAAAGACTCCAACCCTAAGAGCTTGCGCCTGGGAGCCAGGGTGCGGCTTTCCCAGAAAAGCACCGAGAATGGCCGAGGAGGAGGTGTGCTGAAACCAGTCCGCCCCTTGCTGCTCCCTCGGGCAGTGAGAGAGACCTTACCAGCCCAGAGAGAGGCTCAGGAGAAGATGGGGACCCCAGCTGAACGGACTCCCAGGGAGCAAAGCGTGGCCCCGCCCAAGTCCCCGCTGCGGCTCATAGCCAACGCCATCCGGAGGTCCCTGGAGCCGCTCCTCCCCAATTCCGACAGTGGGAGAAAGGCCTGGGCCAAGCCAGCGTCAAAGACCTTGCCCACCAGCCCACCCCACGCTTGCACTCGCTCATTCAGCCTTCGGAAAAGCAGCTCCAGTAAAGACTGGGACCAACCGTCCCCCAAGAGAGACATGGTGAGCAGGGCCTCAGCCTTCTCCCTGGGCCCCCCAGCCGCCAGGGCTGCCCAGCCCTCAGCCCCGAGCCCTCCTGACCCTGCCCTCCGCACCCACAGTTTGCCCAACCAGTCATCCAAGACGTTTCCTGCACTCGCGTCCCCACCCTGCAGCAAGATCGAAGATGTCCCCACCCTCCTGGAGAAAGTGAGTTTGCAAGAGACCGTCCCAGATGCTGCCAAGGATCCCAAGAAAAAGACCTCACTCTTTTCCTCCCTCAGACTCAAAGACAAATCTTTTGAGAGTTTCCTCCGAGAATCCAGACCAAGAAAGGACCTGCAAGACCTCTTCAGCAGCCCCAAGGGGAAGGTGCCGCCCATGGGCAATGCCCAGCACCCAGAGAAGCTGGTGCAGCTGGTCAGTGGCACCTGTCTGGGGCAGGGGGTCCCTCCTCCTTCTCCAGAGAAAGATGCAAGTAAGTGGCTCTTTCCTAACAAAAGTCTACCGTTCATGCCGGGCAATTCGTTATTGGATTAACAAGCAGGCATCTTTCATCTCCTTTTGCTTCTCAAATTAAATTCTGACAAAAGTAGGAAAACTTGAATTTAGAAAATTTGAAAAAAATCTGAAAAAATTAAATTTGAAATTACGTTCTAGAAAGTTTGGGGAGACAAAGAATCAACCATAATTCCGCTACTTTCCCACTCATTGACCATATGAATATTTTTCACTATTATACATAAAATTTTATCATTTAAATCAACATCATATCATAGCTATTAAGCCAATTACCTCATAGTCTACATAAATGTGATATAATGGCTGTAGAATATTCTGTCTAGTGTTTATGTTATTATTTAATGAACTATTATCATTTAACACATATATATATGAATATATTTATATTTTATATATGGTATTGAATGAACATTTTTATGCATATAGCTTTTTCTCTCCTTTGAATTATATTTTTTTAGGATAGGTTCTAAGAAATGGAATTACTAGTTGAAAAGTGTGAGTTTTTTAAGATTCTTAACTGATACTGACAAATTGTTTTTTAAAAGAGAATTGTACCGGTAAAGACTATATAGGTTCTTTCTGTGTTATTTCTTAGAACTGTGCGTTGTAAATTTCAGTTAAAACAAGGGGAAGGTACCAGTTTATATTTCACCATTAATGAGAGTACCCTTTGCACCACACTGTTACCTGCATTCAGTATCATATTTTTTCAGGGTTGCTATTTTACTAGTCAAGAAAATGGTGTCTCTTTTAAACTTGTATATTTTTATCATTAGCTTAAACACATTTATGTATATTTGGCTACCAATGGGACCTAAGGCTTTTTTATATTTAAATCTGATTATAATTTTTCAAATTATAAAATTAATATATCAACAGATCAGAATAATTCAACAACAAGGAAATATTCTTAAAAAGTAACGTAATCTCTCGTATCCTTAGAGACAGTGTGAACACTTTGTTGTTGTTGTTATTTGTTTGACTGCTTTAAACAAACTGATTCTACCATCCCTATTGTCGAGAACTTTTTCTTTATTTCTTTAAACTTTAAAAACATTTAACTGGGGCTTCCCTGGTGGCGGAGTGGTTGAGAGTCCGCCTGCCGATGCGGGGGACGCGGGTTCGTGCCCCGGTCCGGGAGGATCCCACGTGCCGCGGAGCGGCTGGGCCCGTGAGCCATGGCCGCTGAGCCTGCGCGTCCGGAGCCTGTGCTCCGCAGCGGGAGAGGCCACAACAGTGAGAGGCCCGCGTACCGCAAAAAAACAAAAAAACAAAAAAACAAAAAAAAACATTTAATTTTTATTTTGGGACTTCAGTTTTCAAGCAAAAAATTATTTTTCTCTTTTGGTGCTTTACTCAAAAAGCTATACAGATTAACAAGAGACTTTATTTTCAGCCAATTCAGGATAAGCATGGACAGGCTGGTGTATAACTACACCCTTTTTATTACATCATAAAGTTTAATCATGCTGTGCATTTTTTGATAGATAATACATTCACATGGCTCAAAATAAAAGGGTACAAAAGGCACAAAATGAATAGTCCTATCTCCCATCCCTGTCCCTGTCTGTCCCTGAGCCGTCCAGGTCCTATCCCTGATGACAGATACTATTATCAGGTTCTTGGGCATTCTTCCAGACAAGATTTATGAATATATGAGAAAATTTACATATCATATTCTTTCTTTTTTGAACAAATAAAAACATGCTAGCATATTGTACATACTTTTTTTGAACTTCTAATTTTATTTTGGAGATCATTCTGTGTTAGTACATAAAGAACCTTCTCCTTCATTTCATAGCTCCATGGTATTCCATTGTGTAGACGTACCATAATTTACGCAGCCAGTCAGGCCCCTGTGATGGAAAGCTTAAGTATTTCAAAATTTTGTTATTGCAAACAGTGCTACAATAATGAAGAACTTGGGCCATTTGGCATATGTGTGAATTTACCTCTAAGATAAATTCCTAGAAGTGGAAATGCTGGAACACAGTACATGTGAATTGAGAATTTTGATAGATATTTTTTGCCAAATTGTCCTCCATCAAAGTGGTGCTGCCTCACCCTCCCCAGCAGCAAAGTATGAGAGTGGCTATTTCTACACTGCAGTGCGCTACCCAACTTTAAAAAAAATCTTTACCAGCCTGATTACAGATTGAGCATCTCTTCATACATCGAAGAGTCATTTGTATTTCCTTTTCTGTGAACTGTTGTTTCTCTCTTTACCTAGTTTTCTGTTGGGTTGTTGGTATTTTTCTTGATAAAATGTAGGGACTCTTGTAAAAGGGAAACTTAGCTTTTTTCTTGTGATATAAATTACAAATACTTTTTCCAGCTTCTTGTTTGTGGTTAACTTTGTTTATGGTGATTTTTGCCGCATAAAATTTTACTTTTATATAATAGTTGTAGCAATTTTCCATTTTACGGCTTCTGGGCTTTGTACAGTATAATTCAGAAAGAACTTTTTCTAAGTTTATGGACCAAGTTTCTTATTTTTTTACATTTATATGTTTATATCAAGAAATTACCCTGGGGCTTCCCTGGTGGCGCAGTGGTTGAGAATCTGCCTGCCAATGCAGGGGACATGGGTTCAAGCCCTGGTTTGGGAAGATCCCACATGCCGCGGAGTGGCTAGGCCCGTGAGCCACAATTACTGAGCCTGCGCGTCTGGAGCCTGTGCTCCTCAACAAGAGAGGCCATGATAGTGAGAGGCCCGCGCACCGCGATGAGGAGTGGCCCCCACTTGCCACAACTAGAGAAAGCCCTCGCACAGAAATGAAGACCCAACACAGCCAAAAATAAATAAATAAATAACACAAGATGAAAGCAATCTGCAGATTACTTATAAAAAAAAAAAAAAAAAAAAAAAAAATCTAAAAAAAAAAAAAAAAAAAAGAAAGAAATTACCCTAGTATAAAATGTGAGCTATGGATCCAACCTTCTTTTTGTAGATGTCTCTTTGGTTATCCTAAAATAATTTAGTGAATATTCATCTTTTCTTCTCTTATGTGAGATGACATCTTTATCATATATCAGATTCCTGTACTTGGACTGATTTCCACACCATCTATTATATTCTATCGAGTTGTCTGTTATGTATCAGTTCCATGCTGTTCTGATTATTTTCCTTTATATATTTATATATTTTAAAAATTCTGTATTTTACCATCTGGTAGGAAGAGTATTTCATTATTGATCTTCTCTTTCAAAACTTTCCTGGCTCTTCTTGCTTCTTTGATATTCTATATGGACTGAGCATTAGCTTGCCTATGTACCCCCAAAATCCTGTGAGTACTTTTATGGGATTAAGTTTACAAACTAACTCGGTGAGAATTTACAACCTTATGATATGAATTGCCTTTCCATTTGCCCATATCTTTTTTTGTGACCCTCTGGAATATTCTAAACTTTACATCATATAGATCTTGCATATTTATTGTTAAGTTTATTACTAGATATGTTTGTTTTTGTTGCTGTTATAGATATTTTCCATTTTATCCTCTTACTATTGTGTATATGAAATTTATTGATTTCTGTATAGTAATTTTTGACCCATCCATTTTTACTAAATTCTCTTTGCTTGTAAATGTTTTTCAATGACTTCTCCTAGGTCCTCCCCAAATATACAGTCATAACATCTACAAATAATGATAACTTTACCTCTTGTTTTTAAGTTGTGTAGCACTAACTTATTTTGTTTCCTAGTTTCTTTGGTTTCCACAATCTCTAGAACAATATTAAGGTAGTGATAATGGTTTCTATATTATATTCTGAACTTTAATGAGAATGCATCTCATTAAATGTTTCCCCATTTAAGCATGGTGCTGGCTTCTGGGTTGACCCAGATATATTTTGAGAAAATAGCCATCTAGTCCTGTTCTATTAAAAGTATTTTAAATCGTGAATGGATGTTGAATTTTATTAAATGTTAGCACAGTTTGAGATGACTGCATGATTTTTGCTCCGTAGTTTCGTTAATAGTATGAATTATGTAATGGATTCGCTGATGCTGAACCATCCTTGTATTGCTGAAATAGATACCGCTCAGCATGGTGTCTTATTATTTAATGTACTTTTCTGTTCTGTTTGCTGATATTTTATTTAAGATTTTTGCATCAAATTCATAGTGAGATTAGCCTTTAGTTTACTTACATCCTATTTATATGACTTCTGTATGTGCTGATTAGAATAAGTTGCGGTAAATGTGTTTTCCTGATTTATTTTCCACGGAGGGCTGCATTCATTTATATTCATTAGGAAGTGGTGTGACTTCCTTAGCTTGGAACAGAATGGGAGTACAGAATGGAATTAGGTTAAAGCTGACCAGCTCTGAATATAGTGCCTGGACCCATCGCATAGAAGAGCTTTGTGTTTCTGAGGTGTTCTTAAGTCAGTATCCTAAGAATGTAAAGATTTTACCTACCCTATCAGATAAGGCCCATTAGTTTCCTTGTATTTCCCTGCCCTCGCCCAGCCTACCAATCACAAAGACACACACACACACACACACACACACACACACACACACACACACACACAGCTCACTTTACACTTAACTTCCTGCACACTTCCATGCAATGGAGAGAGAAAACAGTATTGAAACGGAGAGTGAGAAACTTTCAAAATTTATTCACATGGAAATACCTCAGATTTACGATCACTTGAATAAAGAGCCAGCTGAAATTTAATTTTTCTCATTTTTACAACACACCTTGCCAGGTAAATTATTGGTAAACATAAACTTCTCAGAGTCTTTTACTTGGGGGCATAAACTGACTTCAAGCACTTACCAGTGCCAATTTTATACCAACAATTGTAATGCTAATTATTGCTCCTCTATGTAATTAAACAAAGCACCCCGAGAACCTCTCTTTTAAAATTTTTGTGTAAAATATTTATTGCAGTATAAAATACATACACAAATACTAAGTACAAAACTGATGAATTTTTGCAAAG